TATTGTAAATATAGGGTCATGCTGAACCATCATGAAACATGTGTGGCACAAAATAATCAGATAATAAAGTGATGGGGGCCACATAAATACCTACCTAGAGAAATAGCCTTGCCCTTTTTTAGTGTTTTTGTATTTATTTATTGGTAAGTTATCTTTAAAAAAAAAATCAAGGGGAGAGGGAGAATTGATTTATAAATTTCCATTATAGTTTGGTTTGTCTCAAAGTCAGTCTTATGTTGGTAGTGTTGAATTTCTTAGATTTGGTAGGCTCTTCAGCCACAAGGAACAATTTTGATAATCTAGTCTCACCTTTTAGGTATAGCACAGGACATAGAACTTTAACCAGTAATTTCTACATCTAGCCCCAGTGCTTGAACTAGACCACTGTTTCTAAACCTTTTTAGGTTGGTGGCCCCTTTTTCAACATAATTTCCCCCCCCCCCCATGCCCTTATGTTTACTATAAAAGAACAATATCAATGCTAACCCTATGATTCGTGAGAGTATTCCAAGGGGTTGACAAAGCATACTTACCTTGAAGGAGGGTAAGGCTGTGCACAGAAGCAGGGTGCATGATTCCTTGCTTTTAGTTTGTAATACATTTTTTCAGTGCTTCACAGTCCCCCAGATGAGAAATACTGGACTAGATTAAATCAAGAGTAAATTAAGTTTGGAGCAGGATAAAGATGTTGGTCTCCATTCTCCACTATGGCTGAGCTGTACTTGAACATAGTGGAGGTAGTAGCCAAAGCGAGCCAGTTGCAGCCCTTCAGAGCCTCAGTTGCCAGGTAAGTTAGAGCAGGAATGGTTGTACTCTGAACTTGCCTAAGTCCTGTATGCCAATGGAGGATTGGGTGTAGCAGAGCTTAGTTATGCCTCACCCCCTAGCACCAATGAAGATGGAGGCTGATATAAGATGCAAAGTCAATATGGTCTCTCCACCAGCAGGGATTTTCCCTACATAGGGAATTCTCCCTTCTGAGGCATCAGCTGATTTACACCTATTTTGCACTGCTTAGCAAATGAAAAATGGGAAATAACTGGTTAAGCAGTACTGCAGCGAAGGATCTGTAGGTGTAGAGTGGGTCACAAATTAAGTATGTCAGTGTGATTCTGCTGCAAAAAAGGCAAATATCGTTCTGGGATGCATTAACAGGAGTGTCATATGTAAATGGTGGAGGTAATTGTTCTTCTGTATTCAGCAGGAGTCAGACCTCAACTGGAGTATTGTGCCTAAGTTTGGGCACTGCACTTTGAGAGAGATGAATTGGCAAAAATCCACAAGAGAGCAACAAAAGTGATAAAAGGACTAGAAAGCATGACCTACCCATAAAAATGGAAAGAATTGGACGTTTAGTTTAGATGGCAGGGGAGAAAGAAGACATGTTACATCTTCAAACATGTAAAAAGTCATTAGAAAGAGGACAGTGATCAATTGTTCTCCATGTCCACTAAAGTTAGGAGTAGAAGAATTCCCCTTAATTTGCAGCAAAGGGGTTTTAGGTTAGATATCAGAAAATACTTTAACTACAGATAGTTAAGGACTGAAACAAACCAGTAACCCAGGGAGGTTGTTGAATCTCCATTATTGGAGGTTTTAAGAACTGTAGGTATTCACCCAAAAGAGGGGTCACACAAGCATAGTGTAAAAAGGGGATCACAGTATTACCAGCCTTACTTCTGCACTGCCTTCAGAGCTGGGGAGTCAGAGAGCAGTGGCTGCTGGCTAGGTACCCTGCTCTGAAGGCAGCGCTGCTGTCAGCAGCAGTGCAGAAGTAACAGTGGCATGGCATGAGGGTCATCACAGCCTGAAATATTTTCAAAAGGGGTTCCCCCCAAAAAAGTTTGAGCATCACCAGATTTAGACAAACACTGTCAGGGATGGTTTAAGTCAGTGTTCCTCAAACTTTTGTACTGGTGACCCCTTTCACACAGCAAACTTATGAGTGCAACCCCCCCCCCATTAAATTAAAAACACTTTGTATTTAACACTATTATAAATGCTGGAGGCAAAGTGGGGTTTGGGGGTGGAGGCTGACAGCCTGCAACCCCCAAGTAATGACCTTGTGACGCACCTGAGGGGTCACAAACCCCCAGTTTAAGAGCCCCTGGTCTAAGTATTCTTAATCCTGCCTCAGCACAGGGGAAAAGACTAGATGACTTCAAGGTCCTTTCCGGCACTACATTTCTGATTCTATTATTTATATCAACACCAAGTGGCCTTAGTGAACTGGAAAATCTGAACCTTCAAGTGATCAGGAATATGGTTTCAGTGTGTTCAGTGATACTGAGTGCACCATTATGTTGAACCTGCTATTTCTGTTCTCTTCCTTATTGATCTTTTCAGGCTTTATGTTTTCCCCTCTGCATTTTCTTCCATGCATCTACTCAAATTCCAACCCCCATTCATTCCCTCCCCACCACTGCTTCATTCCAACACCTTTTCCTTTATCAGCTAAATAATCAGATATTAAGTAGTTTGACATGTGTGTTATTGGGAAGTTAACTGTGAAGCCCACTAGCATCAATATACAAAAGAGCTCACACCTCTACACCCTTAAAGTTGTTTGCAGAAACAAACACTGCCTCAAGTTTAGATTACATCAGGAGGTTGTTAGTCAACATGAGATAGTTTGTTTTTAAATAAAGTGAAAGATTTCAGATTCTGCAGAACCTAGATGTCAATTATGTCCCATAAATACATCAAGCAATGTATAAGCCTGCATGTTATACTTGGCTTCTGCTAGGGATACTACATGAAGCATCATTTTAGAAAATCCAATTGGAGGGTACCTTTGTTTTGTAATCCCATTATTTAGTATGTGTAGTACCATAGCATCTAGGTTGCCAGTTTAGGATTTGCTAGGACGGCATACCAATGTGTCAATGGCTCCATCTGAGCCAGTTATACTGTTTGGCAATCCAAGGATGTAGAATAAAAATAGTTGTATATTCCAACATCTAGAGTGAAATCTGGACCGCACAGAAGTAAATGGGAGTTTTGCCATTGACTTGAGTGGGGCTAGATTTTCACCCCCAACATTTATCCAGTGAGATTACACAATGTCTACACTTAAGATGTGACTGCATGTGTATGTTGATGAATTCATTAAATTTGGTAGTTATGACCATTTATATATTCACACATACTTAATATTCCAGCTGTTTAGCCAGTCTACCTTTTACATTGCCGTATTTCCTCCCAGTTGTGCTGCATTCTGACAAATATGTTCCAATAAGCAAGCCATTTTGCAAAACCGAACAAACTTTTCTCCCATTAACCAACATAAGGATTGCAGAACTGCTCAGATTTTTTCAAATAAATATATAGGCTAGATACTAATTTTAAATTTTTTTAAACTCTGGATATTGGAACACAATTAACATATAGCAAGTGGAGAATAGAGAGGGAAAGAGTTTTTGTTTAACAGCTATTTGAACAGCAATTGGTTTACCCTTGGCATAGAAAAAGTTTGTTTACTAATGCAACTTACAAGTTTTATAAAAATTAGTATTATCTGCTTTAGAATGGAGAGAGCCTAAATGCTATCTTTTTAATAAAGTTAATTTAAAAACATACCATTAAAATGGGAAGTCATTTTATATTAAAAAGATTTATAATGTAAACCAGCAATTTAAATGAAACAATGCTTTTAATATTCAGTATCAGAATGCATTATTTTGCAAAGTAGATAACTACATAAGGAACAAAGTCAATTTAAAAAAAAAAATCACATTTGAAAATCACTTATTAAAAATAGCATATTGCTGTAATTTGAAGATTAGAGGAAAAGGTATTTTTCATATATTTACTCTGAACATTTGATGGCACTGTGCAGAGTCAATTTTATCATTCACCTGTAGTTTCCCTAGTTGCTGTGAAATGTGCAGATAGAAGCGATAAAAAAAATTGCCTATCAAACCACAAAAATATCTTGAGGATTCAATGCAGGTGTATCTGAAACTACTTTTAATTCATTTATTAAGATCTACTATATTTCATGTTGATGTCTAACAGGAGACCTACAGTTTATTACATCAATGGTTTTGTTTCATAACATGTTATCTCCATCCCCTCAGCTCTTGATATTGCTATTGCAGACACTTTAGTATACCACGGACTCCACATTCTTCTCTAGATTACAGTACCAAACAAAATATCAAAACATTTATTCTGATAAGAATTTAGTAAAATGGATAGTGGACAGTTTCTTTTAACAGCAATTAGTTAAAAGATGGTTTCCAAAAAATCTACATGGCTTACAAGTATTGCTTTACAGCAACAGAAGTGTAAGTGCTTCCACAAGTAGGCTGCAAAGCTGGCAGCATCTCTCTTTTTTTGCCTCAGCTATGCACAAGCAGCATAAAACCGTCAAGTAGCAGATTGATAACTTTATAAAAATCGCATTTTTATAAACACAATTATCTGGCTAAATCACTTTGGTTCTTAACTCTAACTTAACCCTAAACCCACCAGATAAGTGAGTGCCATACCTTTTAAAATTGCTTTAATTTTACCTTTAACTAGAAATGCATTGACACTAGATAACTTATCTCCTTGTTTTCATACGGCCACCTTAAATTGGTAAAGCAGATTGTGTCACCAGAAACTCACATGCTGAAGAACTTGTAACTAAAAACACACTTATCTGACTATATAAAGTGTGATATTTTTAAACAGTTTCAGATTTGCTTTAACTCAAGATTAAGGTTAAGTTAATTATAACAAAACCAGGAATAACTTAATTTCTTCATCTTTTATAGTTTAATTCCTTGTGAATTTACGCACAAAACATTTATACCTCGCTAAGAATCAGATACGACACCATGAAGTCTGCAATATCAATTCTTCACACATGGTATTATCATTTCTTCATTTGGTGACAACAAAATGAATTTACAAGATAAGCACACACACACCCCAGCCACCAAGCCAACCTGAAGTTAAACTACAAGAACTTATTTTTATTTATTAAAAACAAAATGCCACAGGTCTCAAACTTGAGTCTTCAGCATGATTTTTTACTATGTAGGATTGGTAGTGGGCAAATAATCCAACAGAAAACATGTACAATAAAAATGCATTGTATACAAATACATCATATGAAACCAATGCAGACTAAAATAAATTACATTATTAAAAGTCTTTATTTAGGTTTGGTCAGTACAGGTAAGATAATATTGGAGTCACAGAGCAATATGCATAAACAGGATACAACAGTTCTTAAAACTGAGTAACTATGCACACAAACTTCTTAAACATTCGGTCACCTAAGGAGAAATGCACAGATGTATGGTGGAAAAAACTGTAATTAACACTGGATCTACTACAGGACTCCTTCAACAAGTCCATCTTTTAGTGATAAAACTACTGTACTGGGCAAGCTTGGCAGTCATAAACCCACAGCTAGTATGACAAATTTTGAATGTGGTGTAAATATAACAATATGAGTAAGAATGCCCTTACACAGCACAGGTTCTAGATATACACAGATTTGTACAGACATCATTTATGTTATACTTTGTGGAAATAATTTCCATTTTCAACTTCACATTAACTCATATAAAAATAACTTGAGCCTACACAAATGTCCTTTTAGCAACATTCAACGTAATTAACTGTTAAAATTTCCAAAGTGGCAGAGGTATTGAAGCAAAAAAACCCACAAAAAGGCAAAACTGTGACAAGTATGCACTAATTTAAACGGTTTCTGGACAGTATCCTCTCCCAATTTAAATGACACTGTATAAAAGTGTTGCAGAAAAAAAATGTTACAAAACTGAACCCTGGACATTTACATTGGAGTCCAAACCATTCTGAACATGACGAGAACCCACAGTTCTGTTACCTTTCATGCTCACTGTTTTCTCTTCTTGAGGATCATGATTGGAGTCTGTGTCATTTGAGTGGTGAGTGAGTGAGTTTTCACTGCCAGTGGGAGAGTCTACACTTTCATACCCAGTACTTAGTTGGTTTATGTAGCTACAACCGCCTCTGACAGTTCTATCTTCAGAGTGGTTGGAGAGCTTATTACCATTCCCTGGAGACGCTGGGAAGTCATCTTCTGTGCCACTACCCTCCCTATAAAATCCAGACCCAGACGTCCTCTGATGGGAAGAGCTGCCGTTGCTCGGTCCATTAGCCAGACGGCTGCAGTCTTTACCCATGGCCTCTCCCTGGTCTGTAGGCTCAGAAGATGGAGTCCTGCTGGTACCTGGGGCTGAGGCCTGGGACTGCTGCTGCTGGAACTGAGCCAATTGCTGGCGAGTCTCCTTCAACTGCTGCTGGAGAACTAGAATGGTACTCTGCATACCCTCTACCTCCTCATCAAGCTGGATGATGAAGTCATTCAATTCTATATAGAGAAAACACATTTGGAGCACACACTTAATAGCTCACACATCTGGACCCTAAAACAGTACATAAAAGAACCCTGAGTAGATAAGAGTTATTACTAAAGGTTTGTATGCTCAAGTTCCTAGAGGTCTGTATTTTCAGCTGTTGCATCTGCAAAATGTGTGATGTTGCAATGTTTTATATGGAGAAAAACCTAAATTCCAAACTGCCATCTACATATTTTTTCAAAAACAGCTATTGGGTGAGGGTGGGGGTGTGTGTGGAGAAATCCATTCTTGGACAAAGGGAGGGTGTAGAAGTAGGTGCTGGGAAATAGCTGAACTCAAAGTATTAGTAGGAAATATACTGCAAGTGAACTTCACTTCCAGGTACACAATAGGTTAGCAGCAATCATAAAAAAAAGGGACAAAGCACATTCTGATGCAACATATGGGCTACTTGTAGGTATTCAGAATCATTAGTTTACTAACAATAAGTGCTTTAATTACTTTTCCTCCTTTCAGCCCTGCATAACAAGTACAACAGGAGAGAAATGGATTCCAGTCTGATTTGCGCATCATTAACAGAATTGTTAACCAAGTTCCAACTGTAGAATTTTTAGGATGGATGTATAACAAAAGAGAAAACAGCTTGCCTCTCATAGCCTGGATTGGGGTTGCAATACTGGGAGTCAGGGAAAGAAAAAAATTGTACTGGCAAATTGAGCAAGTCTGACCAGGTCAATAAGAGAAATATGGAACCCCACAGTGCAATTTTTGGTCACTTTTTACATTAAACTGCACATTAACTCGAAGATGACAAAGCAAAACATGCAGTCTATATTATTTTATTTTGATGTTTTATAAACAAAGTATCTCAAAAAGGTGGACTTTTCAGAACTCTAACTCATACTATTTGCAGCTATAAAGAAAACTTAAAAAAAAGAGAAAATGAATGGTCATGGGTGGAAGAGAACAGAATTGTGGGCTGGTTAAGATCTCAGGCCTTTTATAATCTCACTTAAAAACATTTGCCTCTGTAGGGAAGGTGTGCTCAAACCCCCAATGGTTGCTTTTAAATCATTCTGAAGCTTGTAATACTGCATCATATTCAAGAGTAGATATCTGCAGAGGCAATTTTTGAAAGAACATTCGCTTCCTTTGATTCAATTACCAACTTGATAAATTTAGAAGGAAAAAAAGTCACTTGGGTGATTTAACACATTAATCTGGGGAACCGAAAAAAGTAGTCTTCATTCCAGTAACATATTGCAAATTGATGCCACAATTGTAAGAACTGTTTTTCCTAATTCTTCTAAACATTCTACCATTCTACAATGAGCTTCCTCACAAAGGAAACAGATAATCCTATCTTCAAACACAAGTGCATCATGTCACAAGCCATTAACCAGCTACAGGTTATAAAGTCAAATAAAATCTGCATAGTCCTGTTGAACATCTAGCTTTCCTTTTTTGCAACTGGATTCAGGGACAGTGTCAGACTTAATTCCCAAACTTTTTTTTTTTAAATATTTTATAAAAAAAGTCTAAGGGTCACGCTCAGGACAATAAGTTTAAAAGAAGTTTCCTGACCTATGTTACAAACTCTGAACCGTTAAGGCTGGAAATTTTGTAGGTAGGCTAGGATTTTTTCTTCCATTTCAGCTATGGGGAAAGAAGTCAGTTCACAGATAGTTTCACTTGCAGGTTCAGAGGCACTAATAAATGCTGCAATATTTGGATTGTGACTATTGCAGAACATTTGTGTAAAAAAATAGTCACTGAAATGTAAAAAGATTCCTGTGAACATTTCTATTGATTTTAGGTATTGTTAAAAGGCTGTTTTTAGCAAATGAAGTGAGACTATAAAACATCCCATCAATATTTGCATGAAATAAAAAGAGTTTTAGATTTAACAGTCCAAAGAGTGCAAAATATTGTGTTCAGACCCAAAAAGCGAAATAGTTTCATTCTCCACCTTAAAGTGACTCTCACCCCAGCGTAAGCGGCAAAGTTAGCCTTAATTTTTTTTTTTTTAATAATCTAAGGCAACCAGCACCACAGATAAGAATTTTTAAGTTATGTTTAACCTGACATTGTCCCTTTGATTCTGGGAAAGAAAAGAAAAAAAAAAAAAAAAAAGAAGTGTCTCGTGCTCAGTAACGGGATAATTTACAATATCCACACGACCAGTAGATTAAATAATTAAGCCAGTGCAAATGCAAGGCAATTTCCATTTTCTTAAAAAAGCCCTTACCATCCTGACTGCTTTTTAGTTCCTCACTATATTTCTTCTGTAAAGCCAGCTCTGCCTCAAGCTGTGCAATGCGTCCTTGGGACAGCTGCCTTCCAAGCTCTTGATTCTCCTGGATAAGCATTCGACACTTCGCCATTAACTTTTTGCCTGTTTGGCTGCAAAGGAAAGAGCCATCTATCACAAAATGAAGATAAAACCTTCTGTAATCTTCCTCAATTACAATTATAACAGAGATAGGAGATGCGATTTCTGCATGTCACAATTTAAGGAACATTGTGCCTCAAGGTAATTGTCATAGCAGAAAGTCTCCCTATAGTTACCACGTGCTGTTCCAATGTCTGTTGATCTTCTGTTGCTGTTCCGTAAAAGCGAAAGGCAAATTCTATTACTGTAAATATGAATGGCCACAATGTTTTTGATTACTGACATCTGGACTATCAAGACACAATTTGGCATTTGTCCATTCTCAAAGGAAGAAAAAAAAAAGGTTAAGTATGTGCCTGGTAATCAGACAGTGAGTTACAAACATTAAAAGTGCTCCTTCACTTTATGTACTAAAAATATTTTACTAGCTATTCAGCTTTTTTTTTTTTTTTAAACTGTCAGGTTTGGAGAATATTGAATTTAATTATTTTTTTTTGATCAGCATGAAAACTTCTTAATGTACCTGAATGATTAAAGATTTATATTTTTCAAATTTTGTACTTTTGACAACACTATATACATTGCTTTGTTGTTTCCCCAATAGCTAGTCAGCTCCTCCTTTGTGTGTGTGTGTGTGTGTGTGTGTGTGTGTGTGTGTGTGTGTGTGTCTGTCTGTCTGTCTGTCTCTCTCTCTCTCTCTGTGTGAGAGGAGATAACAGAAAATGGAGCTGAAAAATACAAGGCAGCAGGGGGATCCAGGAGCAAGTATAAGCAGTTTTTTTTTTTGTTTTTTTTGTTTTGTTTTTTTTAAGTTTAACCAGATTTGAAAGTTGACAGTGTCCCTTTAAGAGTGTCTGGTGATCAAAAGCCAGGAAACATCAGACCAAAAAGTATTTCATAGGGAAAAAGCAGATTTGATATCCTGCTTTTTGCAAAATAAGGAACACATGCATATCTTAAATCTTCATGTTAAAACTGCAATGTAGAGCATTATAGGAACTAGTATGCAAATTAATATATAGGCAATAATGTTTATTTCATCACAAAATAAAATTGATAGCTAAAGCCCTCTAACACTGTTGGTCTGCCAAAGCTAGGAAAGTAACCAAATATTTTGCCTTCCTTGAGGTTCAGCAACATATATAATGAAGCAGTCCTCTTTTTCCACAGGAAATGAAAGCCCTAGAAAAACAGAATTAATGAGGTTTGTGATTGAACTTCAGGACTTGTATTAGGTAACAAGCCTGAGGAGGTCAGCTTGAGACTGTATAATAAAGTCACAAGGGCAGAATTAAATTTTGCATATTAAAAAAGAAAAAAAAATTGCTAGTATGCTTCACAACCACAGCAAAACTGGTGCCCAGCCAAAAGTCACTTCAAATCATCTCTCAATTAGCTACTGCTTAAGCATTCAAGCTTTTAACACTTCAGATTTTTAAAAGTTCTGCCAACTCTGTCCCATTTAAAGTCTTCCAACTGACTCTCCCACATCTTTCAGATGGGCTGCTCCAGAAGGAATCTGGCTGCGTAAAGTCCTGGAAGCCTGCAAATGTGCTTAATACGGCAACCTGTTCTTTATCTTGATGTGATGTCCAATGCCAAGTCCTTGAAGCTTAGAGTTGTGCTGACCTAATACAATACAAGTAATACAATTTAAGATAAAAATTTTCTACGGGATGCTTATTTATTCTGTGTAAACTAGGACCACTTTGGACTTAACCAATGTGACAGATATTGCAAAAGCTTTTAGGCAGATAGGCAATCATTTAGCCAGTTCCAAGTTCCTGCTACTGGTAAACTTTTATTCTGTATTTATTACCACTATAGATTTCAAAAGTTTATAATCATGTAATGTCTTCATAACAGCCATTGCCAACTGTTGCATGTATTAGTATGCACCATTAACAACCTCAGAAGCTTTGCACCATTCTAGAATGCCTGCCAATTTCTTCACCATGTCTGTTCCTGCCACAACAAACCTTTTGCTTTTATTACCCGTATAGGAATTTGCACAGTTACCTATAATGCAATTTAACTTTTCCCCTCAAGATTGTCTAAACATTTTGTACTACTGAGTTTGAACAAACCTACCTTGCATGTTGAATTATGTAATAAAGGTAATACATGCAAGAATAACAAAGGCAGTAAATCTTAGAATAACTCTGATTAAAGTCACAGAACCAGGTTTTGCAACTGTATGTTTAACAAATTTATGTGAGAACACATACTATAAAACCTGTAAAAATGGAAGCAGTTAAATTTCAAAAGACTAAACATCCGTAGCAGTAAGCTTTCTGTAAGTGAAGTTTCTGCTGACATTTTATTTAAACAAAAATGCATATTATGTACTGAATGTTTAAATGGTGATTTAAATGGCTTAATAAAACCACTCCCTTCTTTCCCCCTCTAAACATCTGTCAGCAAGGATAATGTTGTATGCATCTACTACAATGAAGTCCCAGGCTTGATGCTAAACTTGGGCTTGCAGTGGTATTAGAGCAGACATGTGTTGTGTTCGTTCAGAACAATTTAAGATTTTGAAGGAGAACATCAACTCTTTCAAACATGAGATGAGGTGCCATGAAATAAGAGTGGTTATACACAAGGATGGGACGATAATGGGAAACAGTTCCTAGTGAAACGATAAAATGAAAATTTCTACAAACCCTTTATAGCTTGAGCAGTCTGACTCATTATCCTTTTACCAATGAAAATAAAATCATGAACCCAATGACAAATAAAAAAAGTTCCCTAAATAATTAAACAGACTAGAAATACATTGTTGATTCCTTGCATTCTATTTCCTGCACATATCTAATATGTATTTATATACTTGCACCATGATTAGACTCAGATTACATAGAATTTGAATTAGGGAATATTGTTCAGTTCTCTTTTATCACTTACATTTAAACACAACATAACCTCCCCCCTCAAGACTATATAAAAGTTAGCCAAAAAAAAAAAAATTCTAAATACTTCTGCTTGAAATTAAGACAAAGTGGTAAGAAACATCTGTCACCTCAGTGTCACACAACACATTTTGATCCAGAGGACAGTTTTGCATCCTTTATCTAAATAAATTAACTGATTTATAAACTCCAAGTTAACCAAGCAATCAGCATGGCTGCCTTTTTTGACTGCATATTATAGTAAATAGTAATTTCAAATTTAGTAACACATTAACACAAAAATTGTTCACTAATGCAAGTCTTACCTTTGTTTTGATGCTAGACCACTAAAACCTTACATAATACTGCCACAGCAAAGTAGGTTCAATAGATGTATAATTTTTTTTTAAAAGTTAAAATTTTGAAGGTTTTCTTTTGATGTAAATCCATTGCTTAGGTAACAATAAGCCTACACACAAGCACACTACTCTTTCTCTCCCACATTAATTATCTGAAGCACACAACACTTTAAGATACTTTAAGTGAGTTGAATTAAAATTTAAGTGATCTTAATGGAAACGGCATTTTGAACAATAAGCAGTTATTGTCTACCCACCTTAGAATACATTACCTTTTATAAAACTGAACCTGGTGGATTTGGGGTTTTTAGGTAGGTTTGTTTGTTTTTTAAATGATGTGGTTACACTGAACTTTCCACAGTGTTGGACGGAGTCATGAAATAGTGCCCGATTGACTTTATATCTAGAACATTAATGTTCTGATGACAAACTAATCGGCTAAAAATACATGAGCACTATACCAGTCCACATAATTTCACATTTCTCTGCACACTTACACATCTCAAACATGCACTCTGAGCTGTCCCATATTACTATTCTTGTAAATAACTTGGGACAACATTACAAAAAGGCATCAATAGAGTAGCAAAGCTCCTTGATTGATTCCAGCCAGAAGGATGCATGCATTTAAATTATTATTATTTTTTAAGAATATGGTCTTCCCTCTTTTTTCAGAGAACGAGACATCTTAAAAGGTAACATTCTCGTTCATTACCCCAAAAGTTTCACAGTACAATAGTATGACCAGTCAAGTTCCTTAAGCTCTATATTAACAACTCTTTCAAGGCACATTTTATATAGAAGTGCAATACAAAAACAGGCATACAATGAAACAAAAAATACCCCACACCAACACTGAAGACAGTTGCCATTATGTGTGCCTTATATATGGAGCATTTGAGATCAGTTCTCAGAATAGCAGTTTGAAAAATTCTAATTTCTGCACGGAAACATGCAGTGAAATACTTATCACAACTAGTTTTCCTCATCATACACTCTAGTTGTGATCAAATATATTGCTTCAAACAATTTAAAACCTGCAATTAGATAGTACCTGTATTTTATACAGTCCTATTTTTGAGTCCACAGTATTATCAACCATCCAGAGAACAATCCATTATTTAAAATCATATTGACTTAAGGCTCAGTGAAATGCTATATAGCCCAAATGCTAAACAGTCAGTCAAAAAAGTGTACACTAACACTGATGCGATATGAAATAGCACTCTCTCATGGCTATTTAAAGCTGGTTAGCAAATAAACTCTTTAATGCAAAATTCACCTCATTGAGTTTTGACCCAGCAGTTCAGTGAACAAGCAGGAAGTCCACAGTCTTATTGGCAAAACTGACTTACAGTGTCTCTAAGTCACTAGGCTCAAGGTTAAGAGCGAAGCATATTCCATTTTTACATTTTACTGGAATTTTACATGTTCAATTCATGATTTAAAATCTCTAGGTTCTCTCTCCTCCAAACTGTCTGTAGACACAGTGTGCCACAGACTTAAGACTTCTGTTTCTCCCTCTATTTCTTCAAATAGAACCACTTTGCACGTGTCTACATGTTCTAGAAAGGAAAAAATTTTCAGAGGCGGCCACTTCTTCAGAATAGTCCGACGCCATCAGGCCTCTGAAGCAAAGGGGGAGAAAAAAGCTGAAACACAAGGTTCATCTGGTAAGTTTTACATTAAGCATTACAAGCTGGACAGTATAAGAATGTGGCTTTTTGGCTCAAAACGTCTGAGTCTTGGTGTGGAAACGAGTACTTGGCTGTCCCACCATAGCATTCTCGCAGTGAGACTGTCAGGGAAGTCTTGACTGGGGAGTATTTGTTTTGTTTACCTATCAGGCGTAAATTTCCAGGCACTCAGTTCATTTTGGGCTTGTTCCAGTTTGTCTTTAGTCTGTTCCAGTTCACCTTTCATTTTTAGGAAAAACAAGTTGATGGCTGGGTCCACCATTGTTGATCTCAGTTGGGCAACACTAGGCTGCTGGACTTGCTTGAGGTACTGAATCTGATTCTGCATAAAACAAGAGAAAAACTGTTACTCATTTATAATTTAAAAAGCTTCAATGATTACAGAATGGACAGAGTTAAAAGAAACCACATTGTTCTGCTGATGGAGTTAAAAGAAGCTCATTTTTCTTCCATATTTTAACTGTTAAATTCACATGCAGATAGCAGTATTAACTAAAGTATAATCAGTAGGGAAATGAACACAGAATAGAAAAAAAAATAACTCAACTTACTTTAAATTTGAAGGCTACAAATTTTGCTCCTCTCTCCCAAATCTAATTAATTCTTCATACCACCTCAATTTAGGTTTGCATAATAAGAATAGCATTTAGGTTACTATAATCCTCTACTTTTGTACTGTTTGCATTCTTTTGAAAGGTGACTACAAGTAGGAGGAGTATCAAAAACACACTGAGTTTTCACAGAGTCAAATTAGAAATTGAATAGTTTCCATATAGCTGTAATGTAGGCCAAATCAGAGTGATGACATTAATGTCAACAAATAAATAGTGGTTCTTACTATTTCCAAATTGTTTGTCTGAAATCCGGATGTGTTTTTGAAGACCACAAACATGCACCTTTGATGCTGGTTTGTATTATTTGCAGTATTCTTATTATTTAAAAATAAAATCAGAACGCTAAGGTTGAAAATCTGTGTTTTGTTACCGAGTATGAAACTTAGTTATCTTGTTTTAAATGAATTTAAGCTATACTTCAACAAAAAAAACAAGGGTTTTTGTTTGGATTTAGGTTCTCTTGCAGAATCTGCAATCCAGTAATGAAATCCTTGTAGAATAATGGTTAGATTTGTATTTACTTTCAATTTACCTATTTTCCTTTAGCACATGAACTACTTATAGAACCACTGTTACCATATTTAAATATGATTCATTCAAATGCATTTTTGGAAGTGTGAATTCTTTCAACTTAAAAACCACATCTTTATATATTTTACTTTAAAAGGGCTGCTAAACAGAAGGATTTGAATTCTAAATCCATCTACTTGTTAAAATTAGATCTCCTTAGCACAGGCAGAATCTGTTTATACTACATTCAGTTTAATATGCTTCCTAAGCCTCTCTCATGTTTCTTGATTACAGCAATAAAGTAAATTAAGAGTTTCACAGGCTGAAAAGAACATCAACTTTAAAAATTACACTTCTGTTTGATTTTTAACTGCCGTGGTCACTTACACACCCCAATACTGCAGGTAGGTGTGAACGGGCAAATCCTTGTACCTAAGTAAAGTTTCACTGAAGTGAAGGAAACTCTGCACCAGGCACAAGGATCTGCCTGCAGGATTGAGGCCGCTTTGTATAGATGATAAACAAATATTTTTCTGTTTTTTTTATTTTGTGCATTTGACAGAACTGCATGTCCAGTTAGCTTGACTGTTCTCTTTGTATAGTCAGTTTATGCTATTTGAGTGAGTCTTTCACATAGCAACAGGGAACAAAAAACAAAACAAAACAAAAATATCTGACTGAAAGACCACTACCATTGAAAACAGCAGTGAAGACCCAGGGGCAGGTTTAGTCCCTGAAACCAGTTTAAATTCTGACTGATTAGATTTTATTTTAATTATGTAACTAAGATATCCACTGTTTCACTTGGACTTCAACTAGAATACCAAATTTTATTTTAATTGTTTACAGGAGGTCTTTCAAACAAACTTCAACTTGTCAACCAATTTATTACAAAGCCTTTTTTCAAAGATTCTTTCCAAGAACATGTTTATTACATATTCCCCTCTATATAAACATATTACATAGAGAACTACACTAAAAGAACATTATAGTTGCAAAGTTAATCAGCCAAAAGTTAGGGAATGCCCTGTGGTGTCATTTTGTATTTTTACCAAATTACCTAATCCACACAGTATATTATTTCACATAGAATGTTTCAAGAAATGGGCTTCATCTTTCCACTAAACAGTGAGACCTCATTAACTTATTTTGTTTGTTTACAAAACCCCCAATGTTCAACGCATTTTTCACTTAGGTTTGCTCCCCTCTCATATATAATGCTGCCAGTACTGTACTTTGTTTATGAAAATACTTCACTTCCAATGTTACAAAAACAGGTTTCTACCACCACCACTTAAAACATATACCAAGCTTCCTCAAAGACTGCATTGCAAAATCAATTCTGAAAGAGTTAAAAAAAACCTAGCCTCTCCAATTTTCCTTTTCTTTTTTTTAAAAAGCCCACATACTCAAAAGGTATATATCTATATCTATATCTATATCTATATCTATATCTATATCTATATCTATATCTATATCTATATCTATCTTACATTGTATCTTTTCTGTATCTTCACTTAGAGGCTGATAGTCCATCCTTTTAACCATCCCGGAAAGAGGAGATTCATAAAGGACATGTTCCAACATGTAAATGGGTTTTTTTAAAGGGACAAAAATCAAGCTGCAATTTGTATTTTTTGACACCCTGAAGTTAAAATAAATTTCCATCTTAAAAATATGAAAAAAATTTCTGTAAGAGAATCTTCTTTAGGTGTACGTGTCCTATCTGCAAACAACTTAATGACATTCCAAGAAAACCTCACAGGATTGTCACAGGCTGGCTGTCTCTTTAAGGCAAACCAGGCTCAGCCCTGTCCTGACCTACCAGCTAACCCCAGCTGATGGTGATATGGCAATTTAATCAGTGACCCAGCTGCAGAGAATCAGGAAGGACTTCTTAAATACAGCTGAGAATGCAGTACAGGGAGAGATGCTGTAGAGGAGATGGGATACTCCTCCATGGGAAGCCCAGTAGCTTGGGGCTGGCCGTGGTTAGAGAGCGGAGCTCTACTGTAGAGCTAACTCCTATGGTGAGCTCCTGGAAGGGGCCAGGCATCCAGGGACACTGTTTTGGGGCCAGTGTTCCAGAAGGGGAAGAGGGGCTAAGAGACCCACAGGAAGCAGAGTAGACTGGTGGCTGAGCCGTGAGAGAGATCTCCCTACTCCTCATGGGCCTTAAGTGAAGCTGCCGAAGTCCCTGGGGAAGGGAGGCAGTAGGGGAATCCTGGGGCAGAACCAAGACATGAAAACCAAGAAGCTCCACAGGGGCCAGGAGAAGGGGCCAAGAAGCAGAGTACTTTGGTAGAGCCTGAGAAAGCAGAAGAACCATAAATCTGAGCATTTGTTTGGGACTTTTAGTTGGACCTTTTCTTACCCCAGAAGGGGAGTGAACTTTTGTGTAAGCTGGCAGGACAGCCAGGCCAAAGAAGAAGAGCAAGGCCATCTCAGGGCCAAGAAAATGATAACCCACAGCCAAAGACGAGGACCCCTGGCAACACTGCACCCTGACACAAAGGAGCAGTACTCAAGGTAAGGATGCATCATTACAAGGATTTACATGATTGTCAAAATGTGTAATCTCATATCTACAGCTACTGGATAACTAAGTATTTCAAGCTCAGTGGTATGTCATATACACACACACTTGAATTCAACAATTGATCTATGTTCTACAGACTCATTTCAGAAAGTTTAATTGGACTATCTAACAAGATAAAATTATTCCTGTACGTATTTCAAAAATCTGAGCCGAAAATAACGTTCTTTACAAGAAAAATAAAATTGAAGTCATTAATTTGTAAATAAGAGTATGGGGGAAAAGGAAAAAAAAATTAAAAAACCCTCTCCTCATTTCTTAACGTTCACAGCATGAGTAGAGAACTGCGACAATGTTTCAATGGTGGCTCTGCATCAGTGGTGTAAACCTGATAATCCGTTGCACACTACTACTTCTGGCACCTCTGTGATCCCGAAGAGGAGGAGGAAGGAAGGTTGGAGAAAGGGAAGGGGGTTGTGAAACTGTTCTCAGCAGAGCTTAGGTCTTTGTTCCCCCTGCAAGCAGATCCTAGGAGTGCACTGTGGATGGATGGCACACTTAACCCCTAGGATTAGGAAGCATTTTACATCTCTCTCATGAGTTGCTCATTGAAGAAACAAATACTTGACTAGATAAGAAAAGTAGAAGTGATATGGAAGAAACATGTAAAAGGAGAAAATACAGAATTCCAAGAGAATCCCAAACAAGGAAAGAGGAATCCCCAGAGGCCAAATTAAAGATAGAAAAAAAAAGAATCGGAAAAGTAAGGGGGTGGGGGGGAGAAAGAGGAGTAAAAAGAAAGAAATCATTAAATATAAAGAGAGGAACAACAGAAGTTTAACTCTGAGGGAAAAGAAAAATTAAACTGCTAAATTTCAAAAGAATTCTGATCAGAAAAAAATCAAAGCCTCCTTTCCTAAAATTACTGCATTGTCTACCCATCTGAATCCGTGGGAAGGATAACAAAAACCAGCAACCCAACACCAATATGAATTGTGTCAGACCAGAAGCTCCAGCAGTAGACATTGACTCTTGGCGCTTAAGGATAAAATGCCACTGAGTTCTGCTCCCATATCCAGAGTGAAGAAGTTATTTGACATTTATATATTCGATAAACTATATATTAAAGAAAATGGACTAATGCAACAGGTTAGCAGCAGCAAAAGTACAGAATTGTTTATGAACGTAACAGTACTTGAATTAGTGCCACTCATCAGGAGAGGAATGTCTTTGCTATAGTTTAAGTTAAAATGTATATTCTTCCATCATTACTCTTCAGATTCTGATCCTATTTTTCCCCACAAGATACGAACAAAATGCAGTACATGCTCAGCTGAAGACACATTCCTGTAACATTAAGACATTTATCAAAATTAAATACTTACAGTACACTCTTGCATTTCCTGTTCCTTCGTTGCCAGCCTCATCACCAGGATATTCTCTCTTCGGGCAGACTCTTGCTGTTGTTGCTTCAGCTTCTCTTCAGACTCCCTCAATCCAGTTACATCATTAGCTAATATTAATGATAAAATACAGAAAGCATAAACTTTAATAGCCTAGTTTACAACAGACTAGTTCAAAGACTGAAGACTTTAGAAAGCATAAATTGGTTGCCTTTAAAATAGATTAAAGAAAAACTAAGTCAAAAACATCAAGGTTTAGATACTGGAATTACTCTAAAGTCCATTTTATATTTGTGACAGTCTCTGTTAGGCAGTTTCTACTAGTCCTTTTTTGAAAACTTTCTATCATGTTAAATACCAGTAATAGCAACTGCAAGAGCGCTAGTGTAAACCAGCCACTGCCTGAGCCTCTTCTTCACTAGCACTCCAACTCTGCTGCTACCACCCAAGGAGCTGCACTGGTATTAAGGGAGGGAAAGGTCTTCAGAAAGAGACCAGTACAAGTGAGGAGTGTGCATTCTCAGCAACTGTGCTCAATTTCTAAGCAGCATTGTTTTTAGACAATCCTCAAACTGGAATGTCAAAACCCCACAGTCACATTTTGACATTACAAAACTTCAGAGATGGCAATCCAATCACATTTAAAAGTTTCATTCCAACCAAACACACCATGTTAAAACATTTATATTAGATATGTTGGAAATGTAAGTTAGGGACTCAATTTTTGTTTCTACTGACATTGTAACAGAACTTTTGCCAATGTCTGGCTTTAATGGAAGCACCATCAGACACCAGATATAACTTTTTTGTTTTGCTCATGTCATTTTAGTTGACAAATGCTAAGATGCTAGAACTGCTATTTAGTAATGTTATTTTAGACTACTTGAGCTCTCTTTTAATGCACACCAAGGAAAAACTTAAAACTAGCTTTGGGGATGATTTAAAAAAATAAACTATTGTTTGTACAAAATCTGTACTAGTTTTAGTCCCTGACTATTAGTGCTGGTACTACTGCTCCTGCACCTGAAGATGGCAGGAGCATTAGAGTGAAAGTTACATATCTAGTCCATTTAATGCATTTCTACAGGGCTAGAGTGGTCCCAGCACAGAGGAAAACCCATGGTATACACTCATTTCAGTTTGTTGCATGTACAAAACCACAACGAGCATGAAACCAATTAGATGTCAGTCTCTCTCAAAGCAAGCATGATAAAGACAGGTTGAGGGAGCAAAGCCACCTTGAAGAGTAGTGGTACAAAAGTCTCAAGATTTGAAAGCGGGGAGAAAAGAAAAGGTGGTAAATCAATTATTTTAGCTGCCAGTCCAATTAGTGACAGATAACTAGGACTCAGCTACCCCAAAACACACCCATTCGTCCAATCTTAGGGTGAGTGGAAGTCTCGCCTCTTCTCTTTCAAAAGGATAAGAGCTACAGTTAAAGAAGTGAATATTCAAAAGGGGTAAATTAAGATACATGACCTATACAAGACTTAACTGGCGATTCATTTTAGATCTCTTCCCCTAACCAAAAATCCCTTCACTTCTCATCCTATAATGGTTTTGTAAAACAGCCTCTCTTTCACAGGATAATATGATGGGTCTGAATGGCCCAGATTGCCAAAGTCTGTCTCAAAAGGGGCATGTATTTTTTTTCCCCTAGTCTGGACACACCTTCTAATTTTAAAGTGCCCAAACAAAAATAGACCATTTACTGATAGATGAAGAAGCCACTGGAAGATCGTCAATGGAAGACAACTGATTGAACGTACGGGGGGGCGGGAAGAGAGATGGATCTGCTCTAGAAGATGCAGGTCTCGTGGCCTATACTAAAACATCCTGGCCAGTGCACCAGCCAGGTAACCCCTTCTGTCCAGATTATTATTCCCTACTGAAATTTTTTAACAAGACATATAAGTCACTTGAGACACTGTACTTAAAACAGATTTGTGTAACATTTATGACTTTGAAAGTGGACTAACTTACAATTAAGATCTGTGTATTTGCCCTCCAGAGCCTGTACATATGCTTCATATTGCTTCCACCTATTGAGGGAGGAAAACAAACATTTCTGAACCTTGATTCATTAGATTGAGGCATCTTAATTTAAACACTAACATAATACACATTTGTACCATAACCAGAATAGGTCACAAGGGAAACATGCAGGTATATACATTAGATCCTCTATATGCTAGTTAAAAAGATGGAAAAGTTGACTTTCAGCCATGGGGAAAAAAGTTTAATTCTGCTTCTGAACTAAAGAGAAAAGGATAAAAAGAAAAATCACTGCTTTCTAAAAAAAAAAGTAACATACTAGAAGTCTTAGAAGGTTGTTTGCGTTATTCTGGACAAAACTTTGGACTATTCATGTTTACTATTTAGCCATGAATATATGGAACACTTTACTTGTTCATTTAAATATTATTGTGTTCCCAAACGCAAAACTATCAAACAAAATAAAAAGAAAAGTGAAGACCTCACAAACGCAAAACATACAAGCAGATTTAGAATCCATCAAGAAATTCAGACAGTCAAAATTAATAAGGTGAGAAGTTGGGAAGTTTTCTTGGCTTGTTCAAGCCAGGATTGTCTTCTGAAAATCCAATGAATGGGAGACAAATGGTTAAGTTATTGGCACAGAAGCAGTTATTAGAGTTGGCCATCTTTTGGATACTCTAGCCATGGAATACTTAAACCATTTATTCAAGAAGAGAGACTAGATTTACACCATTCTGATGCAAACAAAATTTGTGTGTGGGGGGGGTGGGGGTGGGAAGAGGCATTTGGGCATCCAGGTCAAAATCTTAAGAACAAGGAAAAAATTAGACTACTAAATAAACTACTTAGATTTTCAAAGCAATGAGCTCCCAACTGACTTAACAGCAGACTTCAAGAGGTCTTTATCAAATGGTAAGGTATACAATAATATTTTGGTAATGACGACGAGACACCACAACTTCAGAATTTTGCTTAAATAAGAACATTCTTGCAATTATTCCTTGCCTAAACAGACATTTTTCCATTTTGTTTAAAGGTCTGAAAAAAGTCTAATTTGAGATAAAATTCAGTTATAGTCAAAGAGTGACTTGTCCAAATATAATCTTTATTTACTCATGAGAGCACCTGACCTCTAGGAATAACATGTATGCACCCAGTAAATAATATTTCTGTTAAAAGTTGCTATCTCCTAATTTATAGGAGCATTTTCAATCTGTTCTATTTTATGGCCAGCTTTTTATTCAAGATTTCCTTTGGAATTTCTACTAAGTTCTGAGGCTTAAATATCAATTTTCAAGAACAAAATTACTTACCTTAAATTATTATTTCTCTGAAAATACCATACAGGATTCATTCTTGGGTCTTGTGCCCGCTATACATTTAGGCAATTCCCTTGGCTCTTAAGATGTGTGGGTTGTTTTTGGTTTTTTTTTTTTTTTGGGGGGGGGGGGGGGGGGGGGGCCCTCTAGCACTCCTATAGTTTAACTCAAAGTCTGAATACCGAGCTTGCTCCAGCCTAATTTTTCAAGAGGCTCCAGAATACTCTAGCTTGTTCCTTGCAAGAAATCACCAATTTACATGCAAACTGACAACCTGTGTGTTAACAATTTCACAACTGCTCTGCTGTAACAGTGTTAGGCACATCTTAACATTCAAACTCTGTGGCAGATAGTTTGCATTCACAATTGCTGACCCTTTTGTAGGCTCCTACCAAAATTTCAGGAGTTGGGAAACCTCTTTGAGGACCCTATACCTATTGAACTTGGAAGTGAACAGCCATCTAACACAACTCTTTTTTAACTTGCCACAAGTGATCTAATAATCTCATACCGATCCAGACAAATGTGATTTCTCTCTTCTATTTGGATGGCCAGGACCTATCCCAGGAGACTGAGGGTACATCTTCACGCGCAACGTTAAAGCGCTGCCACCGTAGCACTTTAACATGGCTTGTGTAGTTGCAGCACAGCGTTGGAAGAGGGTTTTCCCAGCACTCTTATTTTTTAAAAAACAAAAACAAAAAACAAAAAAAAAAACCCACACACAACACACCACAGCCCTCCACGAGGGGTGTGGCTCCCAGCGCTGGTGCACTGTCTATACTGGCACTTTACAGCACTGAAACTTGCAGTGCTCAGGGGGGTGTTTTTTCACACCCCTGAGCAAGAAAGTTACAGTGCTGTAAAGTGCCAGTGCAGACAAGCCCTAAGAGTTTTGCTTCAGATGTTTGCTCCGTTTCAGAAAGCTCTGCTCCAGAAGGCATGGTGTTCTCCAACCAGGTCTCCCAACTCTTTCTTATGTCTTGGAAGTACTGTAGATTCTGCTAATAGCAATCCTGATATTAGCAACTTCCAGTTAATGGCAATATGTTGACAGGAACCAATCCCATCCCTTTAACACAACGTTAAGAGGATTCGGATATTGGCAACAGCATGCTGGGTTTTTTTTTTTTTGTTTTTTTTTTTGTTTTTAAAATGTTGCCACCTGAAGCCAGGGAAGGAAGTGCTAGGACATGTCTTCCCTGCCTGCAGCTGGTGCTCAATCCATCCTAGTGCTTCCTGCTGGGGCTGTAGTGTGGCACACCCACCTGCACACAGGGACCACACAGGAGGTATGGGGCTGCAGGGGCAGGGGGTTGCAGCCCAGATGTCAGAATCACATGGTCTCTCCTTGCATTCTCCAAGCTGTGCCCTGCCAGGGGACTACATACAGGCAAGGAAGCACTTGGATGTGCTTATCCCCAACCCCAGAGAGCACAGGGAGAGGTACAGTGCAGCCCCACTGGCTCCCAGTCCCCTTGCTCCCCACAGAAAGCCCTGGCACATGGGCTGCAGCCTCCCTCTCCTGCCGCCCTGCCTGCAAGCAGATTTTCTCAGAGCATTCCTTCTGGGGCTGCAGCCCTTGGTTTCCTTCCTTGGCTGTTGATTCAGAAACCTGCCTTCCACTTAGCAACTTTTTACTGGCAACTGAGGTGATATTATTTGGCAGTTGCTAATAAGTGGAATCTACTTATCTACTGTGTAAACAGACTCAAGGGAATATTTTATTGCACACAATTAACCTTCATATGTCATCAGACAGCTCATATAGGAAGTTCCTTTCTTGACCAGTCAAAAAGGAACTAGCTCAAATGTTCAAGCCTCAGGTACCTGGGGTTAGAATGTTCTGAGTAGGGAAAAGCTCTGCCATACAGCCAGCCTACAGGTGCCACAGAGGGGCAAAAATCTGAAGAGCCAGGAATGCACAATATCCAGGAGTGAAAATCCTGCACTGAGGTTATTTACTGTGCTTTAACTCCTGCCTTTGACATATGTTCCTATAATAGCATCTATTCCATAACCCCAGAGAAAACTCATCTGCAGCAGGCACTGCAGTGAAATGCTACTTCCTGAAACGTTAAACTTGAGACAGAACAGCACATTTAATAGGTGTTAACTAACAGCACTTTTTCATGAAAATTGATGGTTTAAAGGCTAGGAAGACTGACCATTACTAGGAAACTGGCTTAAAGTGCAGTTTTACTGAGAAGTATGACTAAAAATGAACCATTCTTATTAAAGAGATCTTGTGTAATAGCTGTCTGTATCTGCTTGCTTTAATGACAAAAGTTACTACTTGTTGTCCCTGTTAATACAGAGCAAAGCTAGAAAAATGAGCTGGATTCTGTTCTCATGCATCATTAAGTATCTGTATTACAGTGGTACTTAAAGGCTTCAACAGATATCAGGGCCCAATTGTCCTAAGCACAGTACAAACTCCGTTAAGAATCCTTGCCATTAAGAGTTTACAATCTAAACAGACGTGATAGACAAATGGGTGGTAGGGGAAACAAGTTACCCAAGCTCACACAGCAAGTCAGTGACAGAACTAGGAACAAAACCTGATTTCCAGCACAGCACCTTATCCACTAGACAAATGGCACAAAGTACCCTCTGAGGAGGGTTTGACAGATTTTTAAGGCTAATAATAGTCAACAATCTAATCCAGTGGTTCTCAAACTTTTTGTATTGGCAACCCCTTTCAGACAGCGAACCGCTGAGTGAGACCCCTTCCCCCCATATAAATTAAACATTTATATTTAACACTATTTTAAATGTTAAAATGAATTTACCTTTTCTCACCACTTTTAAATTAAGACTTCAATAAAAATGTTTCATTGTTCTAAGCAGAAAAGTTTTTTAAAAAAATAGTTACTGTTTAATTCTGGAGGGTGGGAGGGGGAGAAGAGAAGAAACTTTGTCCATCACTTCAGAGAAAGACTTGCTAGCAAGTCTGGGAGACTGTGAAATGTGGTATTAACAAATACAGTATCACTTTTCACAGCAGACTTGCTAGTGCCCTATTGCCACTCTTACTTCTGTGCTGCTGCTGGCTGCAGGTGCTGCCTCAAGAGCAGGGCAGCCAGAGAGCGGCAACTGCTGGCTGGGTGCCCAGCTCTGAAGACAGTGCCGCCACCAACAGCAGTGCAGAACTGCAAAAGTAAGGGTGGCGCTGCCTGTATCATGCCACCTTTACTTCTGCGTAATGCTTGGCCTTTGTGCTGGGGGGGAGGGAGAAGGACAGCAAATTTTGGGGGGGCTTTAGGCCACACAAGCTCCTCTCCCCCGCAGTATCACCCTATGTGTGTGTCTGACAAATTACTTTTGGGGGCGGGGAGAAGAGGGGGCTGATCTCAGTGATTTGATTGGTCTAGTTTAGTGCAGCTTTTCAGCAGCTGAACAATCAAGCCCTCTGTTGTCCCACCTTTTTAGTCTCAAGACGACAAACCTGCGTGCATGATATTACAATCCCGAGAGCCCAATTTCCTTAAAGTGGTGATAACACAATATATATTTGTATTTAGGAACAAAGATTTCTGCATTCTATGTTTACAATACTTTTTGAAGTAAATACACTACATTGAAGTGGAAAGGTGTGTGTAATTTTCCAAAACACTAGATTTAAATTATATAGTTTAAACCAGTTACTCTCTGCTTTGTGCATGTACTTGTGATCCCCAATTTGAGAACCTCCTGATCTCCTGCATAAACACACACAATAGAAT